CCTCTTTAGCTTTCCCTCCATAGAATTTTTAAAAAATTTTTCCAGTGTGAGTCAGACACCAATGCACCCTATTCCCCCAACCTACATGGTCCATTTAAAAAAAATTTTTTTAAATTGATTTCAGAGAGGAAGGGAAGGGAGAGAGAGATGGAAACATCAATTATGAGAAAATCATTGATTGGCTGCCTCCTGCACACCCTACACTGGGGATTGAGCCCACAATCCAGGATATGCCTTGTCTGGGAATCAAACCTAGACTTCCTGGTTTAACCATTGAGGCACACCATCTGAGATCCAGGGGACATTTATCATGTTGACTGTGTGGTCTTGTTGAAGCTCATGGTGAGGGACTTCTACCCTGATTGTGTCCCCGAGTTGTTTAGGGGTGGACAGGAGAATTCACCACGTGCTGTCTATTCTCACTCAGACTCTATTTGTGATCTCTTGCAATCATGTGACAGGAAGGTTGAGAATCTCAGAAAGCTCATTTTAGCTACCTTTTTTGAGATCCTAAATAATGGTCACCCGCCTCTCTTTAGAATATGGTGTCTATTGTCTTGGGATTCAACTAAAACCAATAGTTGCATTTAAAATCCTAATTAATCCTTCTCCGAATCCCACAAGGTACTCATCCTCCTCTTATTGCCTACATTGTACAAATGTGAAGACTGAGTGCTCATGGCCACCTGGTTTTGTAGGTTTGTGTCTCTGGTGAGGAGTCTTATCCAGAGATCCAGGTTTCAAAGCTTAAGCCTGGATGAGGTCATCAGGTTGACCTAGGCACCAGGGATAGGCACTGTGGGTGATCTCCATATTATACATGAGAGGAGGGGAAATGGGGGTTCAGAATGTTTAAGTAACTGGTCCAACACAACAGAGCTGTCAAATGGCAGAGCTAGGAAAGAGTCTGCACTGTCCAGTTTGGGAGCCACTGTGGCTCTCAACACTTGAAACATGGCTACTCCAAATTGAGGTATGCTGCAAGCTTAAAATACAGAGCTCCAGATTTCAAAGACTTAGTAGGAGTAACAGAGTGTAAAATATCTCCCTAATATTTTATACTGGTTACATGTTGAAATATTACTAATTTGGATTAAATATATGATTAAAATTCATTTACCTGTATATTTTTAATTGCTTTAATGTGGCTGCTAAAACTTAAATTATATATGTAAATGGTATTCTACTTTTCAGATCTCCTGGTTGAAAACATTATCTCTGGCCTCTCTTCCTCCATTGGATTTTTTCCCTTTTGCTCTAGTATTTGTGCAGCATGTTTCACATTAGAATTTCTCATTGATGAGTGTGCCTCCTCACACTATATTGAACCTGCAGAGGGAAGGTCCTGACCTCAGCTGGAGCAGAATGAGAGTGGGGATGTAGTTGAAATTGTATAGTCTTTGTGATGAGAAGCCCGGGGGGGTAGAATCTTGAATCTAATACTTCAAAGCTGTGGGCTTGGGAAAATCATTCAATGTCTTTAAGTCCCAAGGTGCTCATCTGTGAAATGGGATAGCTGTGGGCACCTCGTGGAATTAACCTTTGTTAAGATCTACTCTGTACTTTGTGCTTTAATTACTACCAAGAGGGCAGACACAGATCTAAGCACACAGTAGATGCCTAATAAGTAGTCACATGATCTTTACATGATCTCAAATTTCTAGCTCAGTGGGTGCTAACAGGGGCTTAGAATGGGAGTCACAGTGTCTTTGGTAAAACTAGTATGATAACGTGTAGGTAACAAATCTACTGGCACCCACTAGAATGAATGACTCTTGTTCTTGCCCAGTAAAATATCTGCATCTAATGAAATTCTCTGTAGAGAAACTTCTATTTTCATTTTTGATGTTCTGTGGATTATTGTGATTTTCTAAGTCACCAAAGATATATATTCTGACTCCTTCCACAAAGCACTCATCTCTACATGCTCAAGTGTAGATTTTATCATAAGCCCCACAAAGGTTCACACTCAGCCATATACACCCACTGCATTGTTGAGGCAGCGTGCCAAAATGAAAACCAGGAGCTAAAAGGTAGAAGTCTAGTACAATTGGCCTCTGAGGTCATGATCTGTAAAATTAAAATGTTGGATTAGAGCAGGGTTTTACTTTTGCACAATTGCCATTGGAGCCCAGTATTTTTTGTTGTGTGGGGCTGTGCTGTGCATTTGTAGGATGTTTAGCAGCATTCCCTAGCCTCTGCCCACGTGATGTGAGTAGCAACACTCAGTCATGACAATCAAAGAAGTCCCCAGGGGGACAAAATGGCCACCACTTGGGAAGCACTGGATTAGGTCTTTCAAATTGCAGCTAATTCTAGGACTGCAGGCAGAGGCCTCGCTCACTGCTGTTCCATGCATAGCTCCCTCCCGCTTTGGAAAGCTGCAGTGTTCTGAATCGTGTTTCCTCACACACAGTGTAACAGCCAAGCATTCCCTCACTGGCTCCCACCCGCACCCACTTACAACAGAAGCCATGTGGAAGGTTTGTATGGGTGACATGCTGCAATTTCAGTGTGTCGTAGCTCCCCACCGAGATCTCTGAGCAGTCGCCTCCACCCCCTGCTTGCCACTCAGGTGGGCCTGGCAGGCAGTTTTGGCAGCTGCAGCTGTTATAGTTCTGCATTCAACACGCACGGCTTTGTTTGAGGCTCTAAACAAAACTTCAGGCCACAGCTCCTGACAGCCAATCCTCTGCTCACGTGCCTCTCTCCTGGCCGCTGACAGCTGGGGCAGGTTTCTATGGCTCCTCATAATAAAATGGTGCAGTGGGGCAATGGAGGGAAACATCTGATTGGGTAGTAAATCCCCAACTCCTTTTTCTTTTCTTTTAAAAATATATTTTCATTGATTTCAAAAAGGAAGGGAGAGGGGAAGAGAGAAACATCAAAAATGAGAGAGAATCATTGATCAGCTGCCTCCTGTATGCCTTACACTGGGGATTGAGCCTGCAAGCTGGGCATGTGCCCTTAATGGGTATTGAACCGTGACCTTCTGGTTCAGAGGTCGATGCTCAACCACTGGTCCATACTGGCTGAGCTCCATCTTTTTCTTTTTTCTAGCTTGGATTTTCTTCCCATTTCAGTTGGAAGTGTAGACAAATAAGATATCTATTCATGTTTATACATCATTTTACGCTTGGCAAGATGTCTATGTCCTTGCAGCATTTTTAAAAGGTAGAAATAAAAAGCTGAGATCTAGAGAGAGGACATAACTGTCCAAAGTAACACTACTAGCCATGAGTAGAAACAGTCTTTTGAAGGTTCTTGCCAGCTACAGTCTCACAGCACAGTGAGCAAGGCAGACACAAACAATTAAGTGTAATGAAAGATAACAAGCACTAACATACCATTATGTAAAGTGAGCAACTAGAAGCCTGGAGAAAGGATCAACTAACACTTCTGGAGACGAATAGAAAAAGGAAATTATCTTTGAGCACCTGACTCAGCTGGCTACTACAGGATGAACAGGACTTGGCTGGGCAGGAGGACAGTATGAGTGAAGACACTCCCAGCAGGAAACTAGTGGACACCATCAGTACCAACATTCATCATTATTATTATCCTCACCACCATGCAGCACTTGATACATGCCAGCCATTGGGTGGAACACTTCACATAAATTGTGTCACTGCATTTTAACACTAGGTGCTATTGTGTGTTTTTTAAATATATATTTTTATTGATTTCAGAGAGGAAGGGAGAGGGAGAGAGAGATAGAAACATCAATGAAAAGGGAGAATTATTGGTCAGCTGCCTCTTGCACACTCTACACTGGAGATCAAGCCTGCAACTTGGGCATGTGCCCTGACTGGGAATTGAACTCTGACCTCCTAGTTCAGAGGTCCACACGCAACTACTAAGCCACGCCAGCCTGGCATTAGGTGCTATTGCTAATTACATTTTGCAGACAGGGAAACGGAGACTCAGAGAGCTTAAATACTTACCTGAAATCATGTTTTTTATAACTGACGAGACCTGAATTCACAGCTACCTTTCAGTGAGGACTAACATGAGCTCTTTTAGAATAAATGGGGTGGGGGCCATAGATAGCAAAATTATAGGCTAGTAAGTAGAAGTTTGATGAAGAGATAGCAACAAAATTTATAAATTTTCAAAAGGCAAGGTGTGGCCATGTAGTCTCTCTTCTTTTCTCCCCTCCCCAACAAGGAGCCTCTTCTAAGCTCCCCCTTTGTAAGTATTTTCCCAACATGGAGCCACTGTGCTACTCTACCGTCCCCCCAATAAGAGGTGGCTAAGGCCCTACCTAGTTTCTGAACATCAGAGAACCTTGAAGCTCAGGTGAATCTCAGTCACCTTTCTTTGGGGTGAGGGAGGCACCCTAGTGAGCACTTAGAAGTGACTAAGGAGCTCCACACACTCTTCCCCTGTAGGTATCCCACCCAGAAACTCATGCTCATAATCTGTCCTGAGATGGTGTGCATTCATGTAATCATGCAGAGTGCGCATTCAGTAGCTACATGTTTGTGTGAGAGGAGGAGAGGAAGGAAGTCTCGTTTACTGAGTCCCTGTCCTGAGAGGCAGGTTGTTGAAGATAGTGAGTTCTGTCTCCACATCTCTGAGACTAGGTCTCTGTATTTGATCATTTCATACATTCTTTCAATACCTAAGTCTTGAAGACTTTTCATGTGCCAAGTGCCAAGATACAAGCACTTCACCTTATCCTATGTTCGGCAGATAAGAAAACTGCATTCCTAAGAAATTAAGCAATTTACATGTTGATACAGCATGTGAACAGCAAAGCAGGAGCGAGATGCTGTGCTCTTAACCTGTGTACTGAATTTTGTAAACCTTAAAGCACTGTTCTGATGTAAGATAGTATTAAGAAAATGTGTTAACACCATTTTCTCCTTTGTCTTTCTTCTCTCTCTCTCTGCCTCTATCTTTCTCTTCCCACCTACCCTCCCTCCCTCTCTCCTCCTTTCTCCACAGGACTCCACAGAATGGAGCAAGAATGAGAGGAAAAAGGCCGGCAGAAAAGCATGAACTGGAGGTTTGTTGAGCTCCTCTACTTCCTGTTTATATGGGGCCGTATCTCAGTGCAGCCCTCCCACCAGGAACCAGCTGGGACAGACCAACATGTCTCCAAGGAATTTGATTGGCTCATTTCAGACAGGGGGCCTTTCCACCACTCCAGGAGCTACCTATCCTTTGTGGAAAGACACCGTCAAGGATTTACAACTCGATATAAAATATACAGGTAAGATTGGAGCTAAGCTGGTCCTTGCCTTTCATTCATAGAAAGCTTCTGGTGTCAGCCATTGGCATGGGCCTTACTGAAAGGGGGAATGTCTGGGCCAAGGAAACCCTCAGCAGGCTGTCAGTCACCTTTTCACTTATTTATTGATTTATTTATGTATTTATTTATTGTTCACTTTGCACAAGAGATTAGCAATGGCATTGAGAAGAGCAAATAGCTAATGTTTATTGAATATGTACTGCGCTCTGGGCATGATACATACTGTCTTGTTTAAAATTTATAAACCATCAGAGATAGGTTCTGTCTGTTTTCTCCACTTTATAGATGAGGTGACTGAGCTTCATCGAGGTGGAATAACTTGTGTTAAGTCACATTGGAAATGGTCAAATGTTTTTAGTCAACCACATTAGATGTTGATAGTGTTTTTTTTTCAAATGCTGTCAGTGCATTCAATAACCTACCCAAACGCATGCACACATTTGGATGTAAGAGAGGACACTCAGTGAACCATCTTTTCTTAAGCAGATCTGAGCTGGTTCTTGGCCTCTTGGAATCCTACTCATACAAAAAGGACTTAGCCCAAATTCTTTTCTGCTTCAAACCATCTCAGGGTCTCCTCATTCCACTTGATCACCCTCTCTTCAGTATTTCTATGCTTTTCTACACTTAACACCTCTTAAGTTTTAAGCCATTTGCAATTAGAGTGCATATTTCTTTATTACCTAACTGAAAACTCTTTGAGGGCAGGAGATATATATATATGTAAAATTTCATTTCTAGATGCTCAGAGTCACTTTTGTTTTGCTTTGTATCATTTGCACATAATACATGTTATGGACATAAACGAATTAGAGAATGCAAAAAAGTCTCTAGAGGTGTGATTTTTGTCTTAAAGTTCAAGGAAGAAAAACAAGTCCCTAATATTTCTGGGCCAGTTAGGATAAGATAGCCAGGAAGAATAGCAAAGGCTATAATCTTGGCCTGCAGCTGGGAAGGCATGGCTTCAGGTCTTATATCTTTTATATACTTGATATGAAAACAGGCATGTTTCATTTGCACATTTTATGACATTATGGGCTAAAAATGGATTATTCATGAAATCTCTACCAGCTGCCAATACCTCTGCTTTTATGCTGAATATTCAAATCCTAGCTTGAAAGTTGGCCCATTAATGACCAAGGTCCTGCATTGGTTCCATTCATACAAGTTCACAGATGAACTTTCCGTGAGCTTTGAGGAGCTGTAGAGAATTTGAGTTATTGGGGGAAGGTACTCTGGGCATGATGAAAAGCAGGATCACTAAGGAAAATGAAGAATGCACGTGCATGAAAAGAAAAAGAGCACAAGGATGAGAAACATGGTGCAACTTCTTTCAAAAGAGAAACATATCAGAATCTCAAAAAAAAATAGGTACTGATTCAAAAATATATAATTATTGAATGTAAACGATTCCTTAGGAGAATTACTTCTAAATCACCCAAGAACAATAGTTATACACTTAATTTCAAATTTGGATTCTTAAAATAGTTTCTGACCCAATACAATTATTACTTTCAGTGGAAAAGCATAAACTAAATATGGGTGTTCATTAATTACTCAACCAAACACTTCAAGATCTGAAATCCCTGGTTTTGGGAAAGATGTTGGCTTGTAATGTTGGAAGAGAAGTAGTAAAGCCCCCGTTATTTGTGATTTGTCAGATAATATTAACACCTTGGCTTTATCTGTGGCTTTCTCTTCCACGTGAGCCTCTTGAGGACAGTTTGACTGGGGCTCAGATTTCCAATTAAAAGATTAGAAGGTGATTGAGTTGAATAAAATTATGTAGCTGAGAAAAGTTGGAGCCTGAACTGGAAATAAAATCTGAGGATAGATTTATCCATATGAATAAATATGCTCAAACTGAAGATATCCATTCATTGTTTACAAATGTTTCTTAGCAACTATGGTGTGCCTGACCCTGTGGTAGGCCCTGGGAACAAGTTGGTCATGATTGACAGGTGATGGTCACAATGGAGGCTCACAAGGGAGCTATCAGGCTTTGGAGATGATGAATCTGTGTTTGTGATTGCTGTTGAAATAACCTAGACTTACACTGATATCCTCAGTAGAACCACAGCTACCAAATATTCAATAATAGTAACCTTTTACTGGGAGGTCAATCAATTCTCACACCATCTGTGAGATGAGCAAGCTTTTACACCTAGGAAATTCAGGACTTTGGGAAACAGAATATATTGCTCTAGTCCAGCGATTTTCAACCTTTTTTCATCCCATGGCACACATAAACTACTAAAATTGTGCGGCATACAAAGAAAAAAAAAAAGTATTTTTTTTTTCTAATCTCACAAAAAAAAAAGGGTATGATTTTGACTCATTCACATTAGACAGCTGTTGTGCTGGATGCTGTCATTTTTTTATTTGACAATCGAAGGGCAAAGTGGTCAGTACCTCTGACTAAATAGTCAGGTATTGCATGTTTTACAAATTCTTGCGGCTCACCAGGGTGCCGTGGCACACCTGTTGAAAATTGCTGCTGTAGCCCATCTCTCTGGTGATGGTGGAACTGCGGATCAAACACAGCCCTTCTGTGACCCACTCCACTGCATGGCCCCTCCAGCACGGTGCCCAAACATGGAGTGTTTCAGAGTTCTGAGAGGTCTCTTCCAAATATTTTTTCTCACACTTTGTCAACATTTTAGCGGTAGTTTTAGAGATGCTGAGAAGTGAATGGCTGCTAATGAGATTGGGGGTCAGGAGTTCTGGATACTAATTCAGCTCTGCAGACACTGATCTAGTGACATCAGGCAAGTTCCCTCCCCTAATGGATCCCCCTGTTCTGACCCATTAAAGGATAGGTATGATGTAGGTCTCTGATTTTCCACCAATGCTCTTAGAAATCCTGAGGGTCAGTAAAGAAGCCATAGGAGCCTGGCTGATGTGGCTCAGTGGTTGAGCATCAACCTATGAACCAGGGGTTTTGACTCCTGGTCAGGGCACATGCCTGTGGTTGTGGCTTGGTCCCTGGTGTGAGGCGTGCGGGTGGTTGCCAATCAGTGATTCTCTCTCATCATTGATGTTAGATCTCCCTTCCTCTTTCTTCCTCTCTGAAATCAATAAAAATATTTTTTAAAGTCATAGGAGCTAGTGTAGTGTGAGAAGACAGGCAAAGGGCAGGGAGCACTTAGGCAAGCTCCCTGGCCTTCCCCTGCCCCTCTGTGAGCGGTTTGCTGCTCCTGCTTCTGTGTTCAGGCTGTATGCATGCTTTCCTTTGGATTCCACCGCTAAAACAGAGTGTGCAATCTCCCAACATGCGGATTTCTAAGCTCCTTTCTAGCTCTAAAATTAAGTATAAGGTTTCGCCAAGGATACATAGTTAATTAAATGATGGAGTTCACCCCAGAAGTCGGGCCCCTGGTCATCAAGTTATTTCTTCCTTCCTTTATTTAATCCTCAAGTAATTACCAAGCACCAACTACAGGCCCAGTGCTGTTTTGGGGCAGATACAATGATGAGTGAAACAAACATGGTCCCTGCTCTCATAGGAGAAACTATATTAATTAAACACACACACACACACACACACACACACACACACACACACACACACAAACAGTGCTACAAAGAAGAAAGAGCAGGGTAGGCATAACTGGGACAACAGTAACATCATCCATATTGATCGGGAGCCTGTTATGTGCAGAGGTTTGATGGGGCTTCTGTCATGATCCGTACATGGATATGCAGACAGGGACCCAGAGTCTTGGGTGCCACTGCAGACCGGGTTCAGACCAGAGCAAAGCCAGCTAGCTCATGCTCATTGGGTGGTTGTCAATCGCCACTTCCTCCCCATTGCATGCCACTTTGGTGAAACACGAAAGCATGGCCCCCGGGGATTTCCTCTACTTCCAGTGGGCTAACATGCATGTAGCATGTTAGAAACTTGACATCTACATCAGGAAAGACAGGCTTTCCTACCAGAATGTACCCTATTGTCACATGCTACCTAGCAAGCTCCGTGGAGATGCTCTGGACCTTAGGCTCTGGCCAATCCACTCCCAGCCCCCCTGAAACCAGGCTAGACACTGAAATCTCCCCTTCTCATTTACGTGGGTGAAGGCCATCTCCCTCCTCATCTATATGCACACAGAGGCCAATTTCAGCTCAGAGAGTCCTGGTGGGGAGACAGTGCCCCTTGCAATGCCAAGTACCTGGCAGATAAATTCCCAGTAGAAGCCCTCTCTCATGTCACTTCAAGCTGAGCAGTAGTGTGTACACAAGCAGTGATTTGGGTGCATGAGGCACAAGCTTTGTCACTCACAAGCCTGAGCTGGCACACAGAGGCTGGGGACCTTTTCTGCTGGCTTCTGCCAGGGTGCAGTGCAGTAACACTGATCTTGGGCTCAGGGAACCTGGCACTGGCACAGATCACTCACCTCCCTGATGTCTGATTTCAGCCAAGTAATGGAATTTTTTGGTGCCTTTGTTTCCTCATTTGTACAATGGGATTGTTAGTTAAGGGGGTTTCCAGGTATGTCTGAACTTCTATGATTCTGTGAAATATTGCCATTTGAAAACAAAACTTGGATTAGCAGAGAAGACCCTGGACTTGGAGTCTGGAGACCTAGGTTTTGTTTAGTTTGGAGTACTTTCTGGATTTGTCAACCTGAGCAAATTCATTCATTTACCATTCAGTCATTCATACATCCATGGTTTTAGAACCTAACACAAATCGTAAGCTGTGCTATGATTGAAGGTAAAGAGCTGAGCAGTAGAAAACACAGGTGCGCATGTGCACACACATGCACACACAGTGGAGAGCAGAGGCAAAAATGATGCCATAAGCCCTCTGAGACTCTGTTTTCTCATCTGTATGATGAAGACACTGTTAAATGTGTGGTTGCGGTGAGAAACACCTTAGCTACCAAGCATAGTGAGCTTGGAATTTTGCAGGAACTGCATAAATACAAGTTCTTCCCTCCATGTGGGAGAATTGATTGCAT